CTTTTTAATCCTAGAGCTCTCTTGACATGACAAAGGAATCCTTTCGGGTGATGCCGGAGAACTAGAAGTGGGCAAAACTCGAGTAATCATCCTCAGGGCCCTATCAACCTCAGAAGAAGTAGGGAAGGTCTGCCCTTGCTCAAGAACCTCGCTGGGTGTGAACGGAGATCTCCTAAGGGAAGAACCCCCTGTAGCTTGTAGAATGGATGAAGGCTGGATGATAGAGGGTGGAGTTGGAACAGTAGAGTTGGGGGGCACACTCTTTTTTGGCACTTTGGCTGGAGGAGTAGTTTCACTGCCAGAACCAACCTCAGCCTTACGTTTACCACCACTTCTGGTCTTCTTTAATTAGGAAAGCTTAGCTTGGAGCTCTGATGTGGAAGGCCTCGTCTCGGAAGGACCTAAAAACCCAGGACAGGTAAAATATGAATGAACAAGGTACAAGAAAAGAGGGGAAGGTCAGAGTTGGATAGTTTGAGGTATTACTAGCGACCTCCTTTGCACTTACAACAGAAAGGGGACTCGGGGCTTCAATCGTAGTCTCTGGGAGACTGAACCCCTGCGCTACGAGAACCCAAGGCTGAGTTCAGGGCGAACACCTAAAAAAAAGCACAGAATATGAGAAACAAAAAGAGATCAGCATAGAAAGCTACTGAAATCGACCCTAGATCACCTAGATTTGCACTTACCCAAGTTATTAGGGGCTTTCCAGGCCCGAGGGACCGGAAGAGAATCTGAATTGTCCATAGGGTTGTATTCCCATTGATCGCCCCCCATGAAGAAGAAAAGTTTTCTCCAGCCCTTGTGAAAGCTTGGAAGGTCGATGATGATTACTTTGGCTTTAACCCGTTTAGAGATATACAAGNTCTGAATTGTCCATAGGGTTGTATTCCCATTGATCGCCCCCCATGAAGAAGAAAAGTTTTCTCCAGCCCTTGTGAGAGCTTGGAAGGTCGATGATGATTACTTTGGCTTTAACCCGTTTAGAGATATACAAGAAATCATCGAAAGGGGTATACTTAACATTAAAACACTCCATGAGTAGAAAGACAGTAGGGACCCCAAGTTTATGCTTCTTAAAGAAAACAAGAAGACCCACCAGAACACCCTAGAAGTTAGGGGAGAGCTGAGCAGGGCAGACATTAAAATGCTGCAAAACGCTCTTGATGAATGGGTGCATGGGAAACAGAAGATCGTTCTCAAAGGCGGCCACGAAAAAATAAACTTTTTTGTGAACTTGGGTGACGTATAAGGTAAATTTATATGAACACCAGGATGAAAGCTAAAACCAGCGCTAAGAACTTTCATGAGGGGAGGAGAGAACTCACTGAAGCCCACAAGTTCTGCAGTTCTGAAAGCAGCACCTGCACCCTCAGCACTGCCTAAGATACCAATTCCGCTCACCTTGCCCTTACCCTTGTTAGGATTTTTAGGAACGGGGGTGGTAGATGAGGGAATATCTTCAGCATTTCCCTCGGTATCAGCAGAATCAACACCGAGAAATTTATCAATCTCCTCACCCACATCACCTAAATCAAAATCTTCCTCAGCAGACCTGCTCCCCAGAAGGGAAACAGAGGAGGGGGTAGTCTCATAAGAAGCAGACATAGTTGGGCAAAAGAAAGGGAGTCTGAAAGTACGATAAAGGGAAGGAATATTTGTAAAGCACTCTCTAAGAGTCAAGGGGCAACACAGTAACTACCGATAAGAAAAACCCTGGCAGTTGAATAAGGGTCTAAAAAGAGAGGAATACGAGACAGAGATCGTCCTCAGTTCCTAAAATAACATAATCGAAAAGTTCAAAAATACAGAAACCACCTTAGACTTAAGGGATCCAGAACGAGGAGATGAACAGAGGGTAAGAAACGTACCTGAGTGAGGATCGAAAGTAAACCAAGGCTTGAAATTAAAGCGAGGAGTGAACTTCAGACTGAATCAGGGAAAATCGATTTCTCAAAAAAAAACCCTAGAGGCACTAGCAGAATCAAAAAATCTGGGATTGTGGGAAGAAGAGAGGGAAAAGCCTGGAGAGGGAGTTTAAAAGGCAAAATGAGTCATTTTCCTCAACTCAGAGGCATTTAAAGCTAACGTTAGAAAGTGGGGATCGTGCACAAGAAACAATAAAAAAAATGATGAAATGATTACTGGTAACCGTCAAAAACTTGTTCATGCTCAAACCGAGGTTAGCACGTGTAGGTCTGCCCTAGTTAAGTGTTAGCTCAGCCCTTACCCAAGCCAGCTTGGTCAAGAGCTGGGGGACAACTGATGATACATAGAGTAACTTCCAAAGTTTGAACTCAGGTGCGGAGGTTGGACAAGAAGGTCAGACAAGACATGCAAAGCTCAAAGGACCAGACCTAGAGCTCACCCCAAATGAGACAGTACCTAGAATGGCAAGGGAACAGCTGGGTGTTAACAAGAACCCTACAGGTGGCAAATAGTCATATTCAAGGCACAAAATCCTCAACAAACCAAGATATTCTCCAAAAATCAAGGAGGAATCCATGGATGAAAGGCTAAGATCTCGGCAAAGATCCCACAGAACAAGGAACAGTTATATAAATACTGTATAACATCTCAAATAACGAGAGAGAATCCCTGATGGCCTGAGAGGCAGACTATAAATTTCATCCCCATTTATTGAAACAAAAGGAGCAAGAATTTTCATTGAAGAGTGGATTAGCCGAGCTCTCGAGCTGATGAATCACTGTATTTTCACTATGTAATTTCCCCCAATCCCTGAAATTCTTTATTACGATCCTCACGAGCCTAGAAGCTCAGACTCAAGTTGCCAAGTATAATATCGACCTTCTACTCATCCGCGTTAATTACACCATCATATATATTTTTTAATATCGAGCATCTACTTTTTTAACCAATAAAAATACGTCATGTGTATTTTTATTTTATTTTATAGATGGTTGCAAATCATTCAATTTAAAATCAACCATCGAAATTAAAGGAGATACGATACCAATTTAAATACTATAGCCTAACTTGTATAAATGTATTAATATGTTTTGAAATCTTATAGCTGTTATGTATTGATTAGTATTTATAATTTTTATAATATAAAATAAAACAAGTTTTAATAAGTCCATTAGACGGAATCAAATAAACTTATCTAACGGTAATCAATATTTTCCTTAAATTTTTACTGTGCTTTCAAACACGAGTTTCCATAATAATGTTATATATATCGCAGTTAATGGATTCTTGATTAGTAGTCCTGTTGTGTTATTTTATTTTTTTTAATTTTTGAAAATAATTTCTTTTTATTGGAGGGTAAAAATAAATTTTTGTATTTTCTGTCATTATAAAGTAGTGAGTGAAATTGTAATCACTGACCAAAAATCAACACTAAGATGGTTTCGGCTATATATTTAATAATTCATATATTATAAATTAAAGAATAAAAAATAAATAGCAATGCTATTAATTACTAAAATTTAATTTGGAGATTAAATGAATTAAGATCATTCACTTAACAGTCGATCTCAACATTCAATGAAGTCCAATGGCTATCCAACGTTTGCAATATATTACGTATTTACATTAATTATAAGCAGTATTATTTAAAAATAAATATTTTTTTATGTAGTATCAATAAAAAAATTGATCGTGTAATTATCTAAAACAAAGTTAATATATGCTATATTTTTCATTTTTTCCACAATTATAATTTATATCACAATCCATTTAGTATGGAGGGGCGTCAATCGTGTCGTATCGTATCAATTTCATATCGTGTCACACTTTTGGTCGTGTTATTTTCGTGTCGTATCAGTTTCGGTGCGTGTCGAGTTCATGTCAATATTCGTGTCAATAAAAATTTATTTAATTTGACAACAACTAATATAATACTATTTAAAAAAATTATAAAAATTTATAAAATTTTTATTTTCTATCTATAATACTCATTAAATATTTATTTTCTATCTACTGTACTCATTAATCGTGTTATTTGTGTCGAACTTTAATTTGACTCATTTTTTACTCATGTCAACTAATCATGTTATTTTTAGATTCGTGTCGAATTCGGTTAGAGTCGGATTCGTGTTCGAGTCAAAAATTGACACCCCACTATCATCTATCTAATATTAACTGTTAAAAAAAATCTATGTAATATTATAGTTAAAAAAATTAAAATTTTAATTTATAAAAGAACAATAATGATCAAATTTAATTAAATTTTCACATACTTTTCATCAAATGACATAAAATTAATCCCAAAATTCAATCTACACACTCCCAAATATCAAACAACTCAATTAATCCACAAACATCTTTTTTTCTCTCCCCTATATCTCTCTTATTTTCTTTATGTTCACTTTAATTTTAAATTATATAATTAAAAAAATATTATATATTTTAAATATAAAATATTGCATCATCAATATTTATTTTTTGGTATTGCAAAGTATTATCAATTATAGTTAAGATTGATCTAATTTTTATTTATTTTAATTCAATAGTATAAAATTATTCCAGTAAATTTTTTTCTACCAAATATATCAACTTAATTAATACACCATTCAATGTTAAATAACTTAACTAATTCACATCTATCTTTCTTATTTTTTTTTATCTGTTTGTTTTAATTTTAATTTAAATAATTAAAAATAAAATAATTATACTATCAATATTTTTATTTGTGATATTAAAGAGTAATTTCACACACAAAGATTATGATTAGTTGTCCACGTGTAACAAGGAGCTTTATTCAATCTCTAAGAAACAAGAGCAATAGTACGTGAATTTAAAAAATATATTTAAAAATTAAATTTAATAATTATAACTATTAATTTTACTGTTGAAATTGTCGAGATTAATTTTTAAGTTAAGTTTTTAAATCCAGCAAACGCAGCCATACAGAGTGTTGTATGTAACTGCCAAGTCGCCACACATCAATGGCCTCAACCGCGCCACGTCACATATTCGTACGAGTCCCACTTATCCCCTGCGTTATACGATTCTCTCTCTAAAAATCTTCATCTTCTCTCTCCTCCGCCGGAGCTTCTCTCTTCAGATCCATCTAACTCCAATGGCTTGAACCACCACCACGGTCTCTCTCTCTCTCTCTCACACACACCGAGACAGATATAGATATACATATATATGTAGATCGGAAATTGTGCGATAATGGAGGAGAGCTGGTTGAATTTGATGGATTTGATGACCAAGCCAGCGGTGGTTGAAACATTTGTCGACATATTGCTATGTGCAGTGCCGATTTGGGTGGCGGTGATGATCGGGCTGGTGATCGGGTGGTCCTGGAGGCCTCGGTGGACGGGATTGGTGTTTATTGGCTGCCGGTCTAAGCTCCGGTTCGTCTGGACCGCGGTACCGCCGGGGCTCGGCGCCCGCCGCCTCTGGCTCGCCTTCACGGCTCTCTCCGCATTTTCAGTTGGTCGGAGGCTTTGGTTCAGTTTTAGAGGCAGGAAGCGTCCGGAATCTGGCGCCGTTTCGGCTCCGGCGTCGGTGGCGACGGGTCAGTCGGAGGGGAGTGGTGGCGACATCAAGTAAGTTTTGATTTTGAACTGTCCTTCCAAATTTTTAATTCTTTTCTTTCCTGCGAAAATGTGATTGTTTTATGTATATTTACGTATGGATTATGTAAAATTTACTGGTGGTACTTGGTGGATGTGCAATTTGATTGTTGTAATCGGATGTGTGAGATTCAGGTTCTGAATTTCCGTATATTTAGTGTTTATGACTGGATTTAGAAATTTAATGTCTGATCATATTAATTTTTTGGCACTAGTAAATTTTACGTAATAGTCTAATTGCTGGATGAACATACTTTTGGTTTAGATTCTTCGATGTTGTATGACAGGCAGAGTGGCTGATAATATGTTCCACCGCCCATTCCTATTTAGACGTTTGAGAAGAACTCCTGTGTGCATTATTGGTGTGGATAGCTGAGGTACCCGTATGTTCATGGTGTTGCACCTTGAGTTGGTTGATCTGCTATTTGGCCATATAAGACAGTGTAGTTGGGGGTTGTGTGTGTGTGTGTGTGTGTGAGAGAGAGAGAGAGAGAGAGATTGTTTATATCATTATTTGAGGTGGTGGTGTACTCATTCACCATCTGGCTTTTGAGTCTTCCATAGTGGTGATGCACACACACCATTTCCCTTGAAAAAGGCAGGAGGCCATTACAATCCTTAAAATTCGTGCAGTTTGAAAATAGAAGTTCCAAGATAAGTTGGTTTTTCTTCTATTTTTGTGATCAGAGAATATAAATGTTCCAAGAAGATTCTGATGTGTCAATGGGCTGGCAAACTCTAGTTAGGTGATATCTCAATCTGGGATTGAAGAGATGGGACGAATGCTTAGGGCTATAGGATAGGTACTTTTTTCGGGCAATGAAATGTATTTTGCTACTCCTGTTCTTTAATGCCAAGTTCAGTATGTAAGGTTTATCAGTTTATTCATTGTGCAACAACTAGGAAGGCATGTCGACTGTTGAATTTCCTGCATCAATTCTTTTAGCAGCCTTCATTAATTACAACACAGACATAATAAATCAATGTCTAGGTGTTCGAATTAGAAAAAGTTGTGTTGGTCATTGCATAGCTTTATTCGTGTGGGGAATACACTAATTGCAATATCTTGCCTTAGAACTAAGAACAGGCAGTGGTCAAGTATGGTATGTAACATTTATCAGGTTATCCATTGTGCAACAACTAGGAAGTCATGTTCACTGTTGAATGTCCTGCATCAATTCTTCTAGCAGCCTTAATTAATCACTGCACAGACATAATAAATCTAGGTCTAGGTGTTAGAATTAGAAAAGTTTTGTTCATTGCATAGCTTTATTCGTGTGGGGAATGCACTAATTGCAATATCTCGCTTAGAACTAAGAACAGTGTGTGGTATCATTTCAACATACATAAACCTGTCATGGCCATTTGCTCTGTTCTCTTTGCACGATTTTGTGGACTTACAAATGTTGGTGTTAGAATAAACATTTA